TCCACCTCCATCCACATCCACATCCCCTCCCGACTTTGTCAACCGGAATGGAAACGGGCAATCGGCATGGGAGAATGTTTACTTGGTTCGTTAGTCATAAATTTATTGGCTTTATTGAAACATCAATTTGGACACCATAGCGGACGACACCCGACCAGTTCAAAGTTACCCGATCCAATTGTGTTCCCCGGGAGGAGATATAGATATGGCATGGCGATGGTAATGGAACCGTGGACGAGGAGATGGGCCGGGACGGGGCCGTCAAGGTGGTCCATTGGTGGGACCAACAGCAGTGCCTCCTCATTTTTATTTTCGGTTTTTTGTTTTTGCTTTTAGCTGTGTTCTCCAGCGCCTAGAACAGGTTTGCTCTTCAGCGCCGGATCGCCGGCTTTTGCGGATTCCGATTCGAACCCTCGGATCCAGCCAATCGCTCGCCGCTTGCGCTGTTAATTTCCAACAATTTTACAGCTAGTTATGCAAATGCCCGGCTGTTTCTTTTTCGTTTGGAAAGTCGCTAGCTCGAGGCGGGCATAATGCCGATTCGGCTGGATGATCTCATGGCCGCGGACCGAAGAGGCGGGACAATGGGAACGCTCAGAGTTGCCAAAGTACGATTTATGCTGCTCGATATCTAAGTAAAGTCTTGCCCATCTGGGGAATTCTGAGCTATTAACGACTTGCCAAGGAAATGAAAATTCCAATGCCTGTACTGTATAAATCATTATTATTTAAAAAATATTTTTAATATGAACAACAAAGTTATATTGTAATTCAACAAATGCTTCACTAATAAACAAAACCTAAACATTTTTCTCACTAAAAATAAATGACTTTGTAAGGACAAACTAATTTATTTCCAGTATGTTTAGATATAAAGTTATAAAATATGATAAATATATTTTTAAACCATTATTATTTTATAACTACTAAATATTTTACACAACTTGTAAACAAATTGTAACGAATTATATTTAAATTTTGCTCTGTGGGCCTATTATGTAAAAACTTAAAAATGTTCTCTGCAAGTTATTTTTTAAAATTTTTTGTTTATTGATATCGTTTCCAAGTTACAAGCAACTTTGAGTTCAAAAGGATTAACTAAATTCTACATATTCTTTACAGACATTTTACAAAAGGTTCTTGCCGTAGCTAACGACATTTAACAACTACTACACGGATGTAATTATAATGTAAAAACAGGTTTTCCTTGTAAGATTGAATCAGGATGTTTTTTAAATGTATAACCTTAAAAAATAAACAAAAACGTTGTTCGAAATTGGTTAAATATACTTTATAGCAGAAAAGCCAAAGGACGATCGCTTGTTCATATGCCACATCAAAATCAAACTTACAGACACTTTTAATCACTTTAATTTTGGATTTAAGGTAATTATAGATTCCTGCGGCATCCCCAAAAATGATATAAATTATTTAAGCAATAAAGGTCAACCATCCCGTGGAAACAGATTACAGCTTATGAAAGTTTACATCGGATAACAGAGACTCGTGTGCGCAGTCCTTCGAGGGGGAGGAAGGGGTGGTGCTTGGTCCCACAGGACCCTTGCTATAAACAGACGAAACTCAACAGGTTTAAGCTCAGTTGGCTCTGGTCGCTCCTAGCATTCAATCGCGGAAACCGAAGGAAAAATACGGCAAGCGCAGGGAAAACTCCCACGTACGGAAAACTCACTTATTGTGGGGGCCTAACGACACATTCCTCGCACTTGTCGCTAATAGATAATTGAATTTTTTTGCCATTGTTGTGTGGGAATTTAATGTGTGGCTTTGTGCAATAAAAATTAAAGAAACTTTTTATGTGCGTGCTGTGCGACTGATTGGAAAACGACGCCGGAAATACCACATAAAGCCAAATCCAATAAGTTACAGCTGTGAAATATAACAATTCTTGTGAATATCCCTTGAGTTTCTCAATCATTTCCGAATGTGTGGGCAATTAAAACGTTAATCAATAAATGTGCTCATGATAAGTGTGAAAAGTAAACCAACCAGCGGACATTGCGACAACGGAAACAACAGCGGATAAAGGATATGTGTCCACATAGATACAAAAACGCAGGCCATTGCGCAAATTGTTTACTCTGGCACTACACTGGGCGAAAACCCGGGTTCCGCCTGGGGAGCAGCAATCAAATGTGCTTTCAATTAAACTCAAAGCCCCAGCCCCTTTGCTAAATTCCCACCCTTCTGTCGGCAACGCTTGGTTGCTTGGCTGCTCATCCATCAAATTTGTCGTTCTCCGTCGTCCTGACGTCCCGACGTCCTGACATTTGTTTGGCGGCCAGCGAATGGGCGGCAACGGGGTGGGGGGCGTGGTCCGGCCACCCATATGTGCTTATCTGCCATTTTTCGCAATTATTCTACGCGCCCTCCTCATTACGGCCCCATTGAAACTCAACAAGTGTCGCCCGAGTGAAACTATCAGATACAAATTGAACACGCAACAATTATGTACAGTCCGCATTGACATGCGGACATTTGCACTCCCAGTAAACTGAAAAAAACCTAACTAAATAAAAATTTAAAAATTTCATTTATTCGAGTAGTGTAATATCAACTTAATAAATCTGAAAACTATTTTACAATTTTAAACAGACTTTTAAATACTTAAGTCCAAGAAAGTCGGCTAATGTTATAAATTAAAATTAAAAGTATTTTCAATAGTGTATTTAAAATTTCAAAATGTATTAAAACAGAGTTTATTTATTATATAATTTTCTAAACAGTTTTTAAAGTACTTTCTATCTGCTTTATGTAAATTCAAATTTAAAATTGGAGTGGAAAATTCTGTTTTTACATTCGTTTCTAATTTCTATCTGATAGTTTGAAACCTAATATCCCTTCGATTGGTGGAAACTTACAACTTGAACGGGAAACTAAACACTTTTCCCTCCGTGCAGCCATCCTGTTTATGAGGCACTGGCTCTCCACATCCTCGCCTGAACAATCGGCAATATGCTAAATGGAAAAGCGCACAAGTCCGGCGAGAGCCCTGACCCTTGCCCTTGCCCAGCGGGCGGCAGTGGGGGAGGATTGAGCGGCAGAACGCCGACCCCCAGCGTTAGGATCGACATTAGCACTTGCCAATCGAGCCATCCGATGGAATCGCGAATGGCTCCCGGGGCTGCGAACCCAACCGGCGAGGGTGGCGTGCTATTGATGCCCACACATCACAATCTGCAGCTCGATAAAATTTCCGTGCGCTCGATTAGTTCCGAGGATATATCGAATGGCGGCAGCGGAAGGTGCTGCAATGCCGCCGCCCGTAACCCGGCCATAAAAACGGGTCGGCGCCTGCAGCTGATGCAGGTGAGTCTTCAGCCTGGGGAACCTCGGGAACTTAACGCTCTACAGGTGCGAAAAACAAACTTAGACGGGGCAGCATAAATTAGCGGCGGGGCATGCATCTTAATTAGGACGACTGGTCAGAGTCACGTGCCGCGGCATCCAGAGAGTGCGTCTAATGAATGTCGCGATTAGTGGACCACGATAAAGACTAATCACGCCTCCTTTGCCATTGCCTTTACCTCCTTTGCCATCGCAATCAGCCGCAGATAAGGCGGAGATTGGTTCGGGCTCTAACTCCACAGAGCACATATTGATGGAAAATGAAAATATATGGCACAGTGGGTAAAGAGCGGGCATAAAGTAATCAAAATAATTTATTACATGTTTTAAAAATATTAAAAAAAAACTTTTGTCCAAAAGAATTAACTTTTTTTTAGCCCAATTAGTTTAATTTAAAGCCAATTATTGATTATATTTTATATAATATAGCATAAAAAAATTTTAAAAAAATTTGTATTTATAGAATATTTAAAGAATTCCCTTCAGGATAATCATAATTCACAATCCCCTAAGTTCCAAGCCCACTGTAAGCGTGAATTTACTCATTGACATGCGAATCCATTTGCAGATGATAATACTACCATTTATACCAATATTGGCATTGATTGTGCAAACATCGGTGACACTGCAAGAGATCCTGGAGTACCGTTCCGCCGTGGCCGACATCGAGACCCAGGTGAGTAGGTGGGCGGAAAAGTGGGTGGGCTCCTTTGAGTGACTGCATGCGACGTTGAAAAGAAGCAAACAAAGCGACGGCGACCCGGAAATTGTGTCTTTGAAGCGTAATTAAAATTTATTACAGCGATTCAATCAAACGCAAAGTAGGTGGGAGGGGACGACTCACTCCCCGATGGTCAATGTTCACTTGACCATCAAGGGATACCTTGGAAATGTTTGTTTGCTCAGGTAAGTGCCGTCCAAGTCCCAGTGAAGAGTTCCGGAGCACGAGCTCGTGGCCAGGCACTCAACTGGGTCCTTCTGCCCCACTTTCTCTAGCCGCCCACTTCGACTATCCATAATGCAAATGCCGAGACTTCGCAGGAAAATATGAAAGGGAGACTGGAAAATATTGAACGCACTTATATGAGTCGAAAGGGGGTTGGGAAGAGGACCAAAGTGAATTGATAAGGACGCAATGAGAAATATGCAGCGACAGTCGCCAGTGAAGGATAGGAGATGGAAAATGGTGGAAAGCGGGAAATGGGGCTGGAGAGGGGGTGGTCCTTGAACGAGGACACGTACTTAGAATGCAAAACACACTATAAACAAATCAAGGATGAAGAAAGAAGTCATCGATAAGGGAACTATCCAAAGCTCAGATAATGGGTTTTGTTTTGATTTTGTACTGTAGGTATTTTCAAAAATTCCGTATTTTCAGATAGTTATTAAAGATTTTAAATCGCTGATAAGCCATAAAAAAATTTAAGGAATTCAAAAGGTTGTTTATGGAAGGTACTAAAAGGCCTCGAGATAGTAATATTATCAAATTATTATTATTATTTAATGATACCCGACACTCAGTCCAAATTATTTAAAAGATTAGCGTAATGATAAATCATTATCAGCTGTTCTAAGCTAATTTGGTTCTTCAAGTTGGTCAATCAAATAAATAATAAGAAATAAACTATGATTGTCAGTTTTCGAATGATAAGATAGTATTTTGAAATGTAATATTTTTAGAGTGATCTAATAATGATTTATTATAAGCAAGAACATTCCACAACATCCAATAACTACGGGTTGCTCGTTTTTATAGACTTAGGCAGGTATCTTGGCCTCGAAGAAAGCAGTAGTATTGAGGCAAAGCTGGGTCTTGAAGAATTGCAGTGGAGCCTGGCAGATGTGGGGAGCCCATTGGGTGCAATTCTTCACGGTCAGGCGATGGGCGCTCAAGAAGGCTTCTTCAGGGGTCATGGTGACGTTGGCCAGCAAAGTGAGGCAATCTCCGCTGGCAGGAGTGGGCTGACCGGCATTCCAAGGAAGATAGAGGGCCTGCTCTCCGGTGCTCTGCCAGTAGTAATCGTTCCTGGTCTGACCCAGCTTATTCCCGGATGTCCAGAACTCCGGTTGATAGGGTGCAATAACCGGCAACCATTCGTTTATAGCATTCAGCTCAATCGAATTCTTAATGCTCAGAAGTCCGGCGCTGAGTGATCGACAGTGACGATCTGACTCGTAGAAGTTCTTCCAAGTGCCATCTACCAGGAGACACTTGTCGGCCACCTGGGTGAAGTTGGTGGGACACGCCGAGATGGTCTCCTCGCTGGCCACCTGATAAAGCTGGCCAAAGGCCAAACCAACCAATGCAAAACAAACTAACTTGGGCCACAACATCTTGAGTCACTGACCCACAGGTGGCCCATCGGACTCTTTTATATGGCTAACGTGCTGGGGGCAGCGTTCTGATAAGGATAAAGTTATCTTGCTGTTATCAATTTTACTACCAAGAACTGGTTATCAAAAAATCACAAAGATCGCCTGACTACAAAGGCTTAGCCGATTAATAATTACAATCCCCTAATTCTCCTCTTGACCAAAAATCTAACTTCTGAAATAATTTAATCATATATCATTATCTTTTGCAATAAACCCAACCGATCCACTCGGCGTATACGTAATATTCCAGACAATTTTCAACAATAAACAGAAAGAAGAGATAACATATCATTTTGGGCTATTAAGTCACTATCTTAAAATACTGATATAACTACATAGTAATCATTATTATTTTTTGTTGGCTGGACAGTAGTATTAAAGGATTTAATCAACTTATGATTTCACTTGGCCTTGTAAAAATGTAAGCCTATAAATCTTTTTATTTATATTCAGCGGGAAGTATACAAATGATTTATTTATTGTTGTGGGCTTCTATTAAACAATATTAATCGGTATTAAGAATTTTTAAAGTATTTAATTAATTTTTATTTATCTAATGCTAACAACTATTTACAAACTAATTTCTAAGAATGCCCAAGAGATGTACCTGCTCACTGTAAAAGCATTTAAATTCCATCTTCTTGCTAAATCATTTGATTTTTATTGGTTGGTTGAATTAACTTTATATTGAGGTTTCTTTAACCCGATTTTAATAAGAAAAAATTTGTTTAAATGATTTAATATCCATTTAGACTGGTACCTTTGCCTCGAAGAAAGCAGTAGTATTGAGGCATAGCTGGGTCTTGAAGTATTGCAGTGGAGCCTCGCAGATGTGGGCTGCCCATTTGGTGCAGTTCCTCACGGACAGGCGATGGGCACTCAAAGTGGTTCCCTCAGGAGTCATGGAGACGGAGGCCAGGAAAGACAGGCAATCTCCGCTGGCGGGAGTGGGCTGTCCGGTAGCCCAGGGAAGGAAGAGGGCCTGCTCCCCGGTGCTCTGCCAGTAGTAATCGTTCCCTGTCTGACCCAGCTTGTTGCCGGATGTCCAGTACTCCGGCTGGTAGGGTGCAACAACTGGCAGCCAATCGTTGAGGGCCTTAAGCTCAATAGCGTTCTTAATGCTCAGGAGTCCGGCGTTGAGGGATCGACAGTGACGATCCGACTCGTAAAAGTTCTTCCAACTATCGTCCAGCAGGTAGCATTTGTCGGCCAGCTGGGTGAAGTTGGTGGGACAAACGGCGATGGATTCCTCGCTGGCCACCTGATAAAGCTGGCCAAAGGCCAAAGCGACCAATGCGAAACAAACTAACTTGGGCCACAACATCTTGAGTAACTGAACTACAGTTGGCCCATCAAACTCTTTTATACACTCATAGAAATTTTTACCCTAAATCGCCCTAAAAAACTGACTTTTCGCCCGTGGATTTAGAAAATCGCCCATAAATCGTATCCGCTGGCGATTCGCCCGTGTATTTAGAAAAATTTTCTAAAAAATCCCGATGGAAATTTGGTTTAATTTAGGGTGATTTTTCTTGAAATAAGAAATATTTTCCTGTTTTTAGGGTGATTTGCCCTAATTTTAAGGTGTATTTTTCTAAAATTAAGGGCGAATTTTCTGTTTTTATAGGCGAATGCCCTAAAAAATAGACAAATTAAAAAAAATCGTGTTTGAGCATGCTTAACTGAATTTGGGAAGCATGTTTTTTTTTTAATCGTCTATATTCTGGGAACTGGGACTGCTTTAATTAAACAGCACCGGCGGAGGACACCGTTTCATATTATTGCATTGGTGTGTAGCTTATATGGGAGCCGCGTTAAGAGGGGGGCCCGATCTATACAGCACAGCCGTTAGAACTGAAAAATCATGTTTGTAAATTAATTAGGGAAATAAATATGAGGAGAAAAAACAACTTACTTTTTTTGGTCATTGCGAGAATCGAACCCACGACCTCTCGGTTTAGAGTCTAACGTCCTACCGCTGCACCACAGACCCCTCGCGCAAGACGACGAACAAACTCTGCACACATCTTATTTTCTTGAGGTCTACGTTATAATATGACTAAAGGCAACTAAACCGTATATTTTTTTTCCTGACGACTGTTCCCGTTTTCTTGCCCGCAAACACAAAGTATGCTTTTAACTCAGAACTCCCATACGTTTTTAAGGTTTAAAGACTACTTTAATTTAAAATTCGGACGAAAAAATGTCCTCAGTATTATAATGTTTACAAACAAAAAAAAAAACATAAAAATCAAGTTGAATCACACAGGGTTCGAACCCACAACCCCACGACCTTAGTCCTCATATAGCAAAGTTGAAAGCGCAAGTGATTAGACCGCTGGGCTACCGAATTTCACACTTTTGGAGTGATTTTTAAGGCGAATCGCCCTTGTATTTAGAAAAATTTTAGAAAAAAATTAGGGCAATTCGCCGTTGGATTTAGAAAAGGTCAAAACGAAGCAAATCGAAAAAAATCGCCCTAAATATTAGAAAAATAGAAAAATTAACCCTAAAAATATTTTTTATATGGTCACCTGCCTTAAATTTATGGCAAATTTGTCGTAAAAATAGAAAATTTTTCTCAGTTCAAAGGCGAAAAATTTTTTAGGGCGATTTTCTAAAATGTAGAAAATTATTTTTATGAGTGTATGGCTAACCAGCTGGGGGCAGCGATAAGGCAACCTTCTGATAAGGATTTGTAGATTATTAAATATACGCGTGGTTAGGTTATCTTGGTGTTATCAAATTGACTAATAGATCGCCTGACTACAAGGGCTCTGCAGATTATTAATGAGAATCCCCTTATTCTACACTTAGTGGGGAACCCCTAATAATTTTGATGACCAAAATTAAAGAATCAGAAGATTTTCACTTAATCGCCTGACTCATTTATTTTTTGTTTTCCTACAAAAATCAAACTGCTAAAATGACTTTATAATTTATTTTTCACTTTTCCAATGTACTAAAGAGTTCATCTACGCGTATACTTAATTTCTAAGATCATTTTCAACAAAAAACGTAATATCTAGATAATTTTCAGCAATAAACAAAATAAAAGATAACAAAACTTTTTAGGCTACAAAATCTCTATATTAAAATATTGATATACCTATCAACATCACTTAAACTAACATTAGTGGCATTAAAGGATTAAAGCAACTTATGGTTTCACTTGGCCTTGTAAAAATGTAAGTCTATAAATATTTTCATTTATATTCAGCGGGAAGTATATAAATAATTTATTTATAATGGCTGATAATATCAGCATGATATTAAAGAATTGCCATCGGTATCAAGTATTTATTTAATTTTTATTTATGTAATGCTAACAACTAATTACAAGCTACTTTCTAAGAGTGCGCAAGAACTACATATACCAGCTCACAATAAAAGAATTAAAAATCCCATTCTTCTTCCAAAATCATGTGACTTTTATGATCTTTCTTTAACCCGATGTTAATAAGAACTAATTTTTTTCAATGATCTAATATCGATTTATTAACGACAGCTCTTTTATATACATTTAGACGGGTACCTTTGCCTCGAAGAAAGCAGTAGTATTGAGGCATAGCTGGGTCTTGAAGTATTGCAGTGGAGCCTCACAGATGGGAATTGCCCATTGGCTGCAGTTCTTCACAGACAGGCGATGATCACCCATATAGGCTCCCTCAGGATCCAAGTGGACCCAGGCCAGGAAATTCAGGCAATCTCCGCTGGCGGGAGTGGGCTGATCGTCGTTCCAGGGAAGGTAGAGGGCCTGCTCTCCGGTGCTCTGCCAGAAGTAATCGTTCCTGGTCTGACCCAGCTTGTTTCCTGATGTCCAGTACTCCGTTTGGTAGGGTGCAACAACCGGTAGCCAATCATTCAGGGCCTTCAGCTCAATAGGATTCTTAATGCTCAGGAGACCGGCGTTGACGGATCGACAGTGACGATCCGACTCGTAAAAGTTCATGTATCTATCGTCCAACAGGTAGCATTTGTCGGCCACCTGGGTGAAGTTTGTAGGACAAACGGCGATGGACTCCTCGCTGGCCACTTGATAAAGCTGGCCAAAAGCCAAAGCGACCAATGCGAAACAAACTAACTTGGGCCACAACATCTTGAGTAACTGAACTACAGTTGGCCCATCAAACTCTTTTATATGGCTAACCAGCTGTGGGGAGCGATAAGGCTAATGACTAATATTTATTATTATTAATGGGAATCCCCTTATTCTACACTAAGTGGGGAACCAATAATAATTAAAAAAAAAACGAGAAGAGTATTAACTTATTTATAATGGCAATAGAGCCAACTGTACTAAATATTATTAAAAGAATTTTAGTTTTATTTAAAACACATATAAATATAAATTGATTTGTCCATATTATTTTTTTTATTTTAGGTGACTATTGCAACTGATTTAGGAAAAGTAGTTACTCGCCTACAGCTGGAACGCTCTGAAGTAGCCTTCTACATTTTTACGAATGGAAGCAAACAGCGGTTAGTAACTCCGCCCTATTGATATTGATGGCCTACAATCTTATCCTTATATCTTCGGAACAGGGCCAACCTTACTTTGAGATTTGCGAATACGGACCACGCCCTGAACAACATGACCACCTGGAGTGAAATCAGTGTTCCCACAGCACCGGACGAGGATGAGGACGATCGGGAGATGATGCTAAACCGATACGAGTTCCAGAGTCGCCTGAATGAGTTCAGGGAGCGGGTGCGTTTGGAGCCCGAGGAGAGCTCTATAACAGAGGTGATGAACTGGTACACATCCATCAATCGGGGACTGCTCCATCATCTGAACGAGCAGATCAAAGAAACAGACAACAGCGGCGTTTGGCGGTGAGTATAAAGTTCTTAAATAGGTATTCCTTTAAAAACAACAAGTACCTAAATAAAATCTTAAATAAATTATGTATTAGCCTCACTTTTATTATATTTATTATATTAATATTAATTTCCATTAAATACAATAGTTATCTGGTGGGATTCAAGAACCTTCTGAAGAGCATTGAGTGCCAGAACATCGCAACTTCCTTTGGCATAAGGTACTATGGACGAGGATCTTTGACGGCTGAGAACTTCGTCTCCTACGTTCGATATGAATTCATGGCTCGGGAGATGATAAACTCCACTTTGAACTACGCACCCATGCTAAAGAACATGTACACCAATATCACCAGCACCAAAAAGTATCATCGCACCAAACAAATGTGTGTAGGCTGGACAAATTGCTTAATACCTATTCTAATATGGGGTTCCTTTACAGGGGCTCCACCCTGCTGAAGAATACTCCGAATGTCTCAAACGAACGCAGTGCCATCGAGTACTATGAGCTAATGAACAACTATACTGATGATCTGAGAATTCTTCAAAAGGCTCTGCGACGTCTAATCAAGTAGGGAAATTGGCTATATTTTTTAAAGATTTTTATTTCTTATTTCCGAGTATTATTGTTTTTTTGAAGGGAGTATGTGGACAAGACACTGGTGGAGGCTGATCGAAAAGAGGCCATTGGCATTGCCATTCTGGTTGTGGTGCTCCTGGTGTCGCCTGTCATCATCATTCTGGTGAAGAATGCCGCTGCAACGATACAGGTTCTACACTCCTGCCATCATACCTGACCATCACCAACTCATCCCTTTCCCCTTCCTTTAGCTTTATGCCCTGAATCTTTCCCAGAAGGCCAAGGAGTTGAAGCGGGAGAAAAGGAAAAGCGACTCGCTGCTCTTCCAAATGCTTCCACCAAGTGTCGCCATGCAGCTGAAACAGACCCAGCAGGTGAGTCCGGGTGTGGGTAGGAATTAGGCAGGTCTAATTGACTCCCTGACAGGTGCCCGCGGAGCTCTACGAGGCAGTTACCATCTACTTCAGTGACATCGTGGGTTTCACTGAAATCGCCGCGGATTGTACTCCACTGGAGGTAAATATACTGGGCTGTTAGATCTTTTTATTTTGTGAATATTTTGTTATAATTTTAATAGAGTTCTGTCGGTATGGTTTCATTTTCCAAGGATAGGATTACAAATTAAGTTAATTAAGGCTATATTTAAGGGTACATTTTACAAAACTAGCCTTCCTTTTATAGCATTCAATAATCTTACAAGTAGTTTATAAATTAATAGAATGCCATCTCTCCTACAGGTGGTGACCTTCCTAAATTCGATTTACCGGGTGTTCGACGAGCGAATCGAGGTAAATTTTACTACATTTTAATTTCAGGGAAACATTTCCAATCACTTTTCAGAGGGTTACTTCGAAAAGAAAAAATTATAATGCATTACAAATATATTAATAATTTTTGAATTTATATTTACTTTTCAATCGAGTGCTACGACGTCTATAAAGTTGAGACAATTGGAGACTCGTATATGGTGGCCTCTGGTCTGCCGGTGAAGAACGGTAATTTATGCAAATTCAGCTGTCAGTCAGCCAGTCATTTAGCCCCGCCCCTCGTCCCTCGCCCCGCCCCTGCTGGCTGAGTACCCCGAAAAGATTTGCGCTAATTTAAATTTCATTTGTGGCCATGCGCGTAATTTATGCCATGGAACTTTCCAAACCGCTGCCTCTGCAGGGAACAAGCACATCAGCGAGATAGCAACAATGGCGCTTGATTTGCTGGACGCCTCGTCGCTCTTCCGGATTCCCCGGGCCGGAGACGAGTTCGTCCAGATCCGGTGCGGCGTCCACACGGGTCCGGTGGTCGCGGGAATAGTGGGCACCAAGATGCCGCGCTACTGCCTCTTCGGCGACACGGTGAACACGGCCTCGCGCATGGAGAGCACCGGCGAGTCCCGAAAGATACATATCACCGAGGAGATGCACGACTTGCTGCAACAGGTGGGCGGATTCCGGACCGAGCACCGCGGCCTCATCGATGTCAAGGTATTGGGAATTACATTATATCCTACAAGATATTGAAATTAAATTTGTGTTCGGGCAATTTGTCGTATTGTTTCGTGGTATACAAAAAGTGTGCAACAAACTATTTGTTAAAGAACCATATTTGTCGCTGCTTTTTGATTAAGAAGCCATTTTTTTATATTTATTTTATAGTTTTTCTAAAATTGTTTCGTGGTATTAAAAAAGTGTGCAACAAACTATTTGTTGAAGAAATACATTTGTGGCTCATTTTTGAATTAGAAACACTTTTATAATAACTATTTTATAGTTTTCCTAAAATCTGAAAACATTTTTGATTTTTAGGGCAAGGGCCTGATGAGCACCTACTGGCTGACCTGCAAGGACGGACCCGTGAGGGCTCGCGAGGAGATCTCGTGGCGAGCGGATATGCAACCAGTGTTCCTGGACCACCTGAAGCTGCATCCGCCGACCGACTACAAGCTACCCAAGCGGAAATGAGCGATTGGCACTGCCAATTTATCGGCCAGGCCAAATTAAAAACCAAAACTGGAAACTGTAGACGTAATTTATGGGCGCTTTCGAGTGTCCCCTCTATCTCGGTGTGTTTTCCCTTTCTAAACTTAGACGCTTTGACGGCCATCCGTCTTTATGTAATCGCATTGTAAAATCGGGCTGATAAAGCCAAAATACAGACTTATGTTACTTAAAAAACGGAAAGATTTATTTATTTTTTCTAAACTTTAAATTTTAGAAAGCAAACTTTGGAATTTTACACTCCCCAAAGTTGTTGTGGCCTTAAATTTAATAATTTATACGAAATTTTTTGAGTGTTCGGTGGTGCATTAAATGTAACGGTACTTTCACAAGTTTTTTCGCATCGATATCTATCGATAACTGCCCAGCTGGAAGTAAGAAGTGCGATAGTGTGACCACACGGAGTAAATTTGAACTGTGTCGGTGTGTGCGTGCGAGCAGGTGTGTGTGTGGGAAGTTGCAGACAGAGAGAACAAAGTAAAAATTTGAAAAGTTAAAGCTGCAGCTGTTGGGGATATAGACAAAATCGGAAGAACCACTGCCATGGCCAAGGTTATATCGCAGGACACCTTCGACGATGTGGTGAAGGAGAACGTGGTGGAGTTCTCCATGACGCCCTCGGAGGCGAAAGAGGAGACCATCAAGCAGTTCGAGGCGCAGGTAGGTAGAGTTGACCCACCAACTTAACCAGGTGATTCAATGGAAACCCGAACTCCTTGCAGGGCATCAACCTGGCCAACATCATCAAGGACCTGTCCGTCAATCCGCAGACCGGGCAGCCCGTCATCAATGAAACGGTGGACAAGATCAAGGAGCACATTGGCCAGAAGGCGGAGGACACCACCCAACTGCTGGAACAGCTGGCCACCCTGGACGCCGAGTGCCAGAAGTCGCTGGCCCACCGGGTGCTGGCCGGCAAGAACGGAGCCCACGATGCCCTGATCACTCTGCTGGAGGAAACCCTCTCCATAGATGCACCCAACGAACCGCTGATCCAGAAATCCCTGGAGGCCGTCAACAGCCTGACGCACAAGCAGCCGGATCTCTTCGATGCCGAGGCCATGGCTGTGGTCCTTAAGTTGCTGGCCCTCCAGGCGGCCAGCCAGGAGATCACCCTGCTCACCCTTCAGTGGCTGCAGAAGGCCTGCATCATGCACGAGATGAATCGCCAGAACATCATGAACACGCCCGCCCTCAAGCTAATGAAGCCCCTGCTGGCCAAGGGAAAGGATCGCCTGGTGCGGGAACTGACCGCCGTGTTCCGCTTCCTGGTGCTGGACGACGACATCCGCGTGGAGTTTGGCTGCGCCCACGAGCACGCCCGCCAAATAGCCGGCGAGGTGTTGCTGCCGCTGGTGGAACTGCTGCCCGCCTACCAGGATCCCAGTGTGCTGGCCGATCTGCTGCTCACCATCGGAACACTGGCCGTGCGCCAGGAACTCTGCACCGCCATCGATGAGGCCGGCGGCCTGAAGTCCGTCTTCGAGATCATGAGCGTCAATCTGGACGAGGTGCGTCTGAATAGGGAGGCCCTGAAGCTGCTGCGCGCCCTGGCCGGTCATGACTCCGTGAAGGCGCACATTGTGCAGCAGGGCGTGGCTCCCATAATCAAGCAGCTGCTGGAGACGCACCAGAACAACGAGAACATCGTGGCCGCCGCTCTGGCCTGCGTGACCACGCTTACTCTGCGCGTGCAGGAGCACAGCGCCGCCTTCTTCGAG